ATATATATATATATATATATATATATATATATATATATATATATATATATATATATATATGTGTGTGTATTAGGAGGAGGGTATGATGGAGGAGGAGTGTGTGCGTGGTGACGTGACACACCAACTAGACGCGGCGATAGTACGTGTGCTGAAGAGACAGTCTCCTTTGCATCACCAGCAGCTTTTTCTGTCTCTTTTACAAAACCTAAAAACACCAATCGATCAAAATACACTCAAACTTAGAATAGAAAGCCTCATAGATAGAGATTATATCGCCAGAGATACACACGATAAACACGCATACAGATATGTTGCTTAACCATACACCACACACACACACACAAGCAGGGGCCCCCAGGGGCCCCCCAGGGGCCCCCCAGGGGCCCCCCCAGGGGGGCCCTCAACAACAGGCAGCCAAGGGGCCCCCCAGGGGGGCCCTCAAAAGGCAGCCAAGGGGCCCCCAGGGGGGGCCCCAGAGGTGGTTGAGGGGGGCCCCCAGGGGCCGCCCAGGGGGGCCCCCAGAGGCTGAGGGGGGCCCCCAGGGGCCCCCATGGGGGTACTCGAGAGGCAGCCAAGGGGCCCCCAAGGGGCCCCCCCGGGGGGCCCCAAGAGGCGGTCGAGGGGTGCCAGGGGTGCCCTCCAGGGGGCGTCCAGGGGCCCCCAAGGGGGATCTCAGGGGCCCCTCAAAGGTTGCTGGGGGGGCCCTCAGGGGCAGCTGGGGGGCCCCACAGGTACCACCCAGGGGCCCCCAGTAGGGCTCCCAGTAGGGCCCCCAGTAGGGCCCCCAGTAGGGCCCCCTGGGGGCCCCTGGGGGCCCCCCCCGGGGCCCCCAGTACGCACCTTATGAGGGGGGCCCCCCTCATGCGGTTCTCTCAATCAATCAGTTAAGGGGGGGCCCCCCAGGGGGGCCCCCAACAGGGGAGGTTTGTTAGAGAGGAAGCAGAAGAAATGTAACATTTATTTTTTTTATTTATTAGTATAGTTTGTCTCTTAGAGTTTTGTTGGTGGGGGGCCCCCCAGGGGGGCCCCCTGGGTAAGCAGTCTTGGCCTTGGGGGCCCCCCATAAGGAAGCGCTGAGCTGATGCTATTGATGCAGCAGCAGCAGCAACAACAGCAGCAGCTGTTGTTGCTGCTAGCTAGCCAGAGCATAGCTAGCCACAGCTAGCTACAGCTAGCCACAGCTAGCCCCAGCTAGCTACAGCTAGCCACAGCTAGCCACAGCTAGCTACCGCCACGTGCAGTTAGACACAGTGTAGGCTTAAGAGCAGTGCATAGATGAGGTGTGAGGGAGAAGGGGAGTTACCTCCATTCGCTTTGCTACGGAGCGGCGGGAAGGGTTTAGGGTCTAGGGTCTAGGGTTTAGGGTTTAGGGTTTAGGGTTTAGGGTTTAGGGTTTCTGTGCTGCACGTACAGCTGAAAACGCCTGTTCTCCTCACTAAATTAAAAACCCTAAACCCTAATAAAGTCTCTATAGAAAAAGAGAATTCTCTCTAAACCCTAAACCCTAAACCCTAAATCCTAAACCCTAAACCCTAAACCACTCACACCTGGGGGGGGGCCCCCAAACCCAGAGGGTACAGCTGTTGCTGAGGACCAGTGGTTAGGGCCCCCCGTTGTTGTGTTATTTGTGTATAAAACTCTGAAATAAATTAAAATAAAGTAAAAATAAATAAACTAAAATAAAAAATATTATAAAAAGAGAAAAAAAAAGAAAAAAGAAGCACAGATGCAGCAGCAGCAACCTATAACAACCCCCCCAGCACCGGTGGTGTTGCTGGGGTGGTCTGGGGGCCCCCAGCAACAAATATATGCATTTCTTTCTCTTAAAAACATAAAAAATATATTTATTATTTTTATTTTTATATATTTACGTTTATTTCTGTCGTTTCTAGCCGCAACAAACACACTCCTGCTAAGGCTGCCACCCCTGAGGTCCCCGCCTAGGGTTTAGGGTTTAGGGTTTAGGGTTTAGGGTTTATAGGAGAGGTTTTCGTTTGGCATATCAACGACTACCCCCTTCTACAGTGTAAACCTCCAAACCCTAAACCCTAAACCCTAAACCCTAAACCCTAAACCCTCGCATTGCAAACCCTCTTCAAGCCAAACCCTTTCTTCTTTGCCTGCCTGCAATAGGGGGGCCCCCAGAACACTTGGGGGCCCCTAAACCCTATTCAGCAGCCCGGAGGGGCCCCCCGTC